TACATATATATATATATGTGTATGGAGTAAATGCTGTGTCATGGTATGATACTGATGTCGTGTGATGTTGTGCGGCTCTGCTGCACTGTATCTCTAAGTTCCTACGTCTTTTGCTTGTATACTCGATGTCGCAACCACCGGCCTCTAGGAGGTTGTAAACCTGCACAGGATCATTGCCCTGCTTCTGACCGTTGTCCGCGGGGTACTGCTCCAGGGAACTCCCCCGCAAGCAGAACCAGGCAGCTGACCATTTGCCTGGCAGCTNNTTTTGGTAAGGGTGCCGTACTATTTTGGGGATCTACAAAGGGTCCCTAATTTTGACAACTACCCAAATGGCCAACGGGGCCCTTACGATGGTCGCCCTCTGCTGGGCGATTGTCTCTCAACATGTCACCCAGGAATCCCCTGCGCGGAAGCCCGGACCCTGAGGTGTCTGCCCTGAAAGTTCGAACTCTCGCCAGCCGGACCTACCACACCCTTGCCATGGCGGATGTCAAGAAGATCTTCTAGCACCGCCATCAGTGCAAGATCTGAGCCGCAAGGGCTCCCAGAAAACAAAAATCTGCTCGGCAAGAGTCTGTCGACAAGATGTGCATCTCTTGAGCAGTGGATCGCAAGCACGACATCCCCTGGCGCCAGCAGCCAGCAGGTTTTAGCTCGGTCACAATCATTGACGACGGCGCTACGTAGGTGGGCAGGGAGGACTTCGCTAAACCTGTGGTGGGGCTGCTTGATGTATTGGCAGTCCGGCTGAGCGTCTGCGCATCTGCTTGATGAAGCATGGACTTCGACCTGCTATGACGATTGCTCCTAGCTAGGGAATAGTGGCTTCCCGGCCCATCTAGGTGCGGAGATAGGGCTCTAAGACCCGTCCATCGAGTACTACAAATACTACAAGCCTGCAGCGATGCAGGAGGGATCAGCTTCGATCCTAATTCAACCGAACATTTACCTATAAGGGAGGCATCTAAACCAAACCTCATTAAGCCTGAACTCCCATGAATGCTCAGAAGTTGAGTTGGTGTGTCCACATGCCACAACCCACCTTGCTGTATCCCTCCATGCTGTACAGACGCAATGTGCAGGCGATCACTTCCGACTTAAAACCCTCAGCCGTCAAAGTACGGGGTCTTTCACCCCGAACTCTTCTCAGCTCCATCCCGGGATTGAGACTTGCGCGTGATCCACTTGTAGGTGTCCGGGTAGGTCTCCTTCACACCAGGGCGTTCTGGCTTTTGATGTCGGGCTTAGGTTGTAGAGCTTCAGCACCGGTGCAATAGTTGAAGCAGGTACGGACTTATGCCAGTACGAGGACCTCTGTGACTCCAATTCATTCATCTGAACCATCAAAATCATCGTGTGCATCAAGACAGCATCATGGGTTACAGACCAGCAGCATTCCTCTACGTACTGTCCGTTTTGCAATCTCGTGATATCTCGTACATCCTCCCGGTCAGGCCTATCAGGTGCAACTGCTAGCACACCCAAACCGAGATGTCCCTTGCGTCTTGAGGTTTGGATGCAGCCTCACCTCAGTCCCTAACTGACTTTTTCAGATCTTGTCGCCCACCTCGCACCTACAACGGGTGACGAGGCCCTTCTCCGAAACCCAAGGCCTAGGATCCCAATCACCCGAACGCCGACATCTTATCGGCATCCATGGTAAGGAGCTACGGACCTTCACGGCGGCTCACTTCGCCAGGGCGCCAGCTCGGGTGTCTTCCCCGTTGACATCAAATCCTGCAAATCTTCCTCCCATCCTGAGTTGCTGTAGGGGCCTTAATTAATAATTAGAATAGGTTTCTGGGGTATATTATACTGTAATTAAAATAGGGAACCCCAGAGTAGTACTGGTAATTATCTAGGCCCCTATATTAGAGTTGGACAAAGCAAGAACCCTAAACTACGAAGCTTTACCGGTAGAGGGAGGCTAAGCCCCAAGACTCTATAAAGAAACACATACCACCCCGTTAATCCCAAGAGCCCTCAAGGCCGGACCTGCCAGGATGAACATACTTCGCCCATCTTTGCCTGCACCATCAGAATAATTAGAATGGGGTTCTGGGCTCCTGCATAGTGTAAAGATAATACGCTCCGCGCCGGTCCAGCGAGATAATAAGGAACTCTAAGGCCCTAGGGAATACTAGTGCAAATTATTGTTAAGTATGCTGATCTCAGCGGCCAAGAGCTTTGGTCAGCGCCCGGCATCCCTCGTCACAGGCGCCTGCAAGGGGTCACGGGGCTGGGCATCAGGTGCGCAAAAAGATGATGGCAGGGTCGTCGAGTAACGCGGTAGCCAAGCCGCCCGGCTTGTCATGCATGTGTGACCATCAACACCACGACTGATGTGCTTCTTCTGTCCATGCACAAGCTACATGGCAATGCATGCACTACCGCAAACGCATCCGATGTGGTTGCGTAGGCTCATGCAGGAACTCCTGCACGCAAGACGAGGCCTTCATGCCAAACATCTCGCCAGTTTGCCTGGTCTTTCAACCTGTGTGCAAAAGCAGAAAGCAAGCCATGAATCAGGCCACAAATCCTAGTGCTAAAGTGCCGAAGTGGACGACTCTCGACTAGACAACACCAAACATGTCAGCCCATCACAGCCGAAAAAGAACGAATCTGTGTCGCAGTAACTACAAGAAACAGGAACAGCTCCAGCCATCCCAAATTAAAAGCCGAGGCGCAGGAAGCGAAACCCTCTGTAGAGCCGGTCAAAGGTGCCGGAAGGCTCCCTGCACCAAGGGCAGCTGCAGGGCGTGGGTTCTATTTTCAGGGTTTACGCTCTCACACCTCGGACAAGCCAGGCCAGGCTCCAGAATGGCAGGTCGGCGTGGTACTGACTAGGGCTTCGGGCCTTATCGGAAGTCTGGAGCCCGAAGCCCCCTGTTGGTCCGAAAAACCGAATGTGTCGACCTCACCCTTTAAAGCAGGAGCTCTTGACAATGCCGATATACCCTGACTCCTGAACAACATATATACAGTTCTGACCTAGAGCTCAAGCCCAAAACCACTATACCCTAACCCCGACCCCCTAGACACTGCAAGCAGTCCTCAGGCCTACTTTGGCCCAGACACCTCCAACTTGCCCTCAGCAACCCAACGCCTCGCCTTTCACTGGAACTCAAACCGGTTTTTAGGGCTTTGGGTTTTTAGGGTTTAGGGTTCCGGAGACCCCGCCTGTTGATGAGAAGGCGCGGCGTCCTGGAAGGTGCCTGGCCAACCAGCCCTGCGAATGGCTCGACGACGAGGGAGGTCCCCATCACGATGAGCAGATCCTTTGAAGGAGGCTTAGGATTTATTTGAGCTCTCTCAACTCGGGCAAGCTAGTTTAGGGCTTAGGGCTTCTAAGTGGTGCCTTGTAATATACGAATTAAAGACATACGAACTGCAGGAAGGTTTTATAAGGGTTTGGTTATACACTGCAGTTCCTTGTTGAAGGCTTTCGGCGCGTGCCTTATCTTGGTCTCGTTGGGGGTTTTGTACGGTTACAAACGAGTCTTTAGGGTGTAGGTGATGTAGAGGTTTTCACTGCGTGGCTTCCACGGGTTTTCATAAGGTTCCTCAGCACACGACGATTCTCTGGACTGCGCTGTAGAATGGCTTTAACAAATCTTCATAGGGCTCTGTTGTGCTTTAAGTGTCATTGGTGTCAGGGTTTCGAGTTCTAGTTTCTTTGCAGGGGTTGAGGGTTCGCGGCTTCCGTAGTGTTGAAGGTTGCAGTAGAGGGTCTTTCGGGGGTTTCAGATCGGTTCGAGGCGCAGGCCCGGAAGGCCCCAGGTCCGGTAGATTCGAGTAGCACGAATCGACGAAAGCGCCAGCAGCAACGTAGAAACGCTAGGATAAGCTGTGCCACGAGTCCCAAAATCTTCCGAGGACCCTCAGATTTGTAGCACCAGATCATGTTACCTTTTAAAACATCGAAGGCCGTAGAGTAGAGACTCCTATGTGACCCCCACCGACCCCCAACTCCACACACAATGAATAACACACAGAGCTATTATAGGCACCATTTCCCAAGCCACGCCGCACAAGCTTCCAGATCCGCATCACTGAGCTCCCAGAAACGGTCCGGCAGGCTCTCGCCGAAGAGAACCACTTTGGGTTTCCTTGCTCGGGATGGGAGGGACTACCAATGATGATGTTAATTCATATCTTGAGCATCTGTGTCTGTGATGTTACATAGTTTGGAGTCCATAGAACACTTGAAGAGATTGAACGCCATCCTGCAGCTGAGAGTTTCGGGCTTCAGAATTTCAGTCCTCTCTTTTTCTCAAGGACTCAGACGCAGAACACAGAAACCAAAAGAGCCAAGACCCCAAACCACCTCAAAGCCCTGGGGGCGGGTCTTGAGTTTCCCAGAGATCTCAATACCCCTTAGTTGCCTTAGTTAAGGAATACCTTAAATCCTAAAAAGAAGGCCCCTATAATCTTCAAGGTAAATCCCCTAATTAGGGGATATTGGGATCTCTGTGTTCGAGCTGCGGAAGAGCGACACGAGGCCGCCTTTAGCCTCGGCCAGTGCCCGCCAGCCTTTCTCACCGGCGAAGACCGCCTGCCTGCCATTGCTTTAGGTTTTTCAGGAAGTCAGAGCATCAAGGCTTTTTGGAACTGTTGTTGCTTAGCGCTCTGCGAGTTTCCGGCTTGGTCGACTGTAAGGCTGTAAGGCTTGTAGCTCGGGAAGCTTCAGGTTCCATCGGACTACTCAGAGTCACACGCTTCGACTGTAACTTCCGATGCTTCGGGCTAGAAAGTTTGCTCGTTTCTGATGTCGATTGACATCAGAGTCTCCAACAACATGACACGAAACCGGCAGTTTGAGCCCGAGACCTAGAGAACTGCAAGAACTTACCAGATTCCGTCTCTCAGCGTTTTGCAGGTTGTGAGGAGCTAGACAGTGTTTGCGAAACATGAAACCAATCTCAAGCTTCTTCTTTGCTGACCCCCAAAGCCTAAACCCGGCAGAGAAGCTTGAGGCATACGACAGTATAGTCGTAATAAGGAACCCTACAGAAAATGTATGCTAGTGTATAATCCTGTATAATTGGTCAGGCTTCTATACTGCAAGCCCCTATGAGTTGATCCTTTGAGCTTCGCCGCCGAGTGTTGGCACACATTCGAAACTTGTCGAACAACCCATGGAAGGCTGGAAAGGCCTCTTTATGGGCTGTAGGGGCATACTAGACGGGAATGTGATTTCCGAATAGTCAGACACCTTTGTTACGGTATGCTGCATTAGGGCGTGTTGCTTTGCGCATGCCGCGCCTGAGCTCCTCGATGTCCACTGCCTGGAGCGCCGAATGCGCAAGCTCACGTTTGTGGGTCTCGGGTTTCCGGTCTGTGGAGAAGGTTATTTTTTTACCATCCCCACTCGACTTGCTCCTGGCCTGCTGAGCCTTTGACCACGCACCATACTCCGGAGCACAACACGGGACGCTACCCGCAATCGCAAAGCTTGCTTCCATGGGCTTGGATTTAGACGGGTTTCATCTGTTGTCTAGGGCAAAAGCATCCCGTGCTGGAATGCAACGAGCTCTAGAAGTGGCGCAAAAACCGCACACCGCAATCGGAGGCGAACCTCACAGCAGTGCATCTCTGCTCCTGCTACCCCTTGCGGACCAGCAACTTGCTCCGGCACTTTGTCGATAATGTGAGCTTCATCGAAGTTCCCATGGGCCGCTACGATCTTCCTGTGCGCTTGGAAGAGGGACATTCATACCCTTCGATGCCCTCTGGCGGCGAGTAAGTTCTTCCAGATTTAGCCAGCCAGTGTCTGTTAACACGGCCTAGCGAAACCCTGACATCCCATCTGCCGGAAGTTGGAAGCGCCAAGACTAATACCAGCCCACGCAAGCCATCGTCAGCCACCAAGGCTCTGCCGGCTCACGCCAGCTTGCCGCTCCAGTGAATCCTGACTCTTGCTTATACTCCTAGTTCGACCCTCTTTTCTACGATCAAGCCCGGCACATCCGAGTTGCAAACTCTGCGATCTCTCGCTTACAACGCTGGCCAGAAAGATTGCCTTCCTACTTCGCTGCTCTCATCTATGGCTTTGAAGGCTAAGCAGATATGGCCCAAGCATTGCGGCATGACATGGACAAAGTGCAACAGAGCCACAATGTTCCTTAGCATGGGGGACGGGCTTGGGCTGGTTGGGTCAGAGAACCTGCGCAGCTCTGCTGCTGGCATGGATGTTGCGATGTAATAGGGCTGGGCCGATCGAACTTGAATGCGTGCAGGTGGGTACCAAAAGATCCTAAACTCCTAAACCAGCTGCAGGCCTCAATCGAACTGATAAAATCTTAATGATTCTTGAAGACTCTAGCCTCGCAGCTACACTACCTTGTGCTGGAGAAAGAGGAAATCCAACTCAGACTCCTTTGAATCTCCTTTAGCTCCATCTAGCAGTCTTGCTGCGCAGTCTCTGCGTGTAGCATCGGCGCAGGATGCCCTGAACACAGGATTTCATACGATTCGGTGCGGACGGAGGGCGGACTTAATGGATCTATTTCGGTTGTTGGTTGCAAGTTGTAACTCTTCCGATTCTGACTGTGGCATAGATACCAGCAGACCCAACAATTTACATCCTAACTTTACGAGTCCTTATAGACTTATAGTTCTCGGAGTTTCGACTGCATCTACTTGCTCCGGAGCAACCCTTGGCCGCTGGAGTGTAGTTTAGTGCTTAGGGATTCAGGGTTAAGGGGTATATTCACCTTAGCGCACCACCCTTAAGGCAAAACACTCCGACCGCTGAAGCCAGGTCGACGGCTGAGGGTACGAACACATCGTTCCTCGAGTTGTCTGTCGCATCCTGTGCACATCATCTTTCCGTCCTGCGAACTTTCGTTTGCGTGCAAAGTTCCTGCGAGCAACATGACGTTAAACTCCGATATCCCTTTCCTCCGCGGCCGTTGGCCTTGAGTACATAACTACCTACATACCGACCTACATACATCCGCACATTCATCCATACAAACAAGTATTGATTGACATTCGAATTTTGAATCACATGCTGTCTGTTTCCGAACGCCGCTGATCTTGTCATTTCGCATCCCGGTCAACCGCCAAAACTCTCATGCCCTGTCCTCCCGATATACCTTGCCTTGGCTTCCAGCCTCGGATTAACGCGGCTGACCATCAGAGTCTTCGGTCGGGCTCGGGGTTCAGGGCTTAGTTTCTCGTGCTGGAAGGGTTTCGGTTTACGGCTTTTCGGGGCTTGGAAGTTCAGGGGATTCAGATGTTGCAGCATCGAAAGACACTTCAGTAGACGGGGCCTGATCCTACCAACGATACACTTCAAGTAGAACAAGGAGGGGTGGGGAACAACATCTTGCATGCCTTGTGAGTCTAACTTCGAAAGGCCGGTTCCCTTTTCCTGACATCTGGACCGCATTTCCGTCCTCTCGGCCTCCGTCTCTCTAATCCGTGGTCGCTACAGCAGCAGGCCCCCAGGAATGTCAACAGTTTCGAAGTTAAGCTCCAGCTTTTGCTCGATCTAAAGTGTACCGAGGTAAACAGGCCTCCTTTTTCGATGCCTGCGGCACCAGAAGCCAGAACCTACCGAGATCTGCAACCAGCCCCAACTGCCACCCCTAAGCACACATCTGCTGCTCAGCTAAGCAGCAGCTTGATGAAGTAGTGCCCCAATGTCGGCTTGTAGCGTCCAGGCCAGAGTTCTCGACAAAGCTCGTAGAACGGGCCTGCAATCCAAGTACTTGACTGAAACACCGAAACCAGGATTGTGCAATTATTGCCAGCATCGGCACCAGGGTTCACGAGAAGCCTGTCGAGGGCTGCAGACTGGGAGATGCAATTGTTTACAGACTAACATTCGACGCCGAGGAAGCCGATACCCCGCCTGGCTCCTGGCGGAAGAAGTCCTCAGTTGAAGGATTGTGCGATGACAAGAGAAAAATCCTGACCCACATGGACATGGCCAAGCTCGTCCGACTAGATGACTTCGATGAGACACTCGACGTACCCGTACACAATGGATGTGCAGTGAAACTTTTCTCATGCACATCAGCCTACTTTGCAAACCCAGGTCGGCACACTCAACACACACACACACACACACAGGCACCCACCCACACACACACACACACACATGAAACTCCAAACAATGCGAAGACGAGCCTAGCCTTGAACCAAACGATAAGCCCACACAAGCCCGGGATTCCAGCTCGAAGATCGCCTCCGGCTGTGAGAGATTGAACCGCTGCAACGTGTCCTGGGGTATGGTCCTAGTTTTACCAAAAGTGTGTGTGTGTGCGCGTTTGTTTACATATGTATATTATATGAAAAATATACACATACATGCATACATACGGACAGACAGAAAGACAGACAAACAAACAGACTGATGCACATGTACATGCGCATTGCACACACGTACATCATCGATGGATACACCGATTTATGGAAGAGATAGGTAGACAGCATGGATTGCATAGTTGGTGCATGGCATAGCACAGCACAGTGGACTGGCAGTCAGATGCAATGCCATCATGCGTCTCAGCAGCGAAGAAAACTTGCAAACAGCATTGCTTGCGAAGCAAAGACAAAGTAATGACTCCCTTTGAGAATTGAACCGTTCGAAGTTCACGAGGAAGTGTTAGAGAATCAGGAACCTCAGGATCAGACCCAAAAGGCCACGAACAAGTCGCCCTAGTTTCTAGAAGTGCCCATGGGCAATGGACACTCGGAGCGTCGGAGATTTGTGCAAGGAACATGCCAGGACGCAAGAACGAAAATCCCATTCGGAACGAATCAGGATTTGGGGTTTAGGCTACAGAGGCAAAACCTTCTATCAAATTCTATCGTTAGAACCCGAAACCCGAAACCCTAA